TATTTGCGTCACGAGTTGCTGAAAGTGTAAAGTGCGTTGCAAAAGGCGAAAACCGTAAAAACAACCTTGCTACCACCTAATTATTTAGGCGGGGTCTGCCTAAATTTTAGGCGGGGGGTCTGCCTAAATTTTAGGCGGGGGGTCTGCCTAAATTAGGAGTTCTTTGTTCCCACCTAAAATAAAGCAGTTTACCACTCAATATTTAGGCGAGGGTCTGCCTAAACTTTAGGCGAGGGTCTGCCTAAACTTTAGGCGGGGGTCTGCCTAAGCTTTAGGCGGGGGTCTGCCTAAACTTTATGCTATTATGCATTCATAAAATGTTGTTTAATATTATTATATTGTTATTAAATTTCATCAAAGAGAGCTTGTCCCAAACCACAAAAGAACTTTACCGAAAACGTCTTAAAGAATAGAGGGCATTAATATGTAGGGTATGAACACAAACACAAAATTATGCGCGAGATGTGATAAGAAAAAAGAGCTTACTGATTTTGATAAAGGTAAAGCTACGTGTAAAGCGTGTCTTTTGGTGAAACAAGAATACAGACAAATTGAAATAGATTGTCCAATATGCAATTGTAAGGTCAAAAGAAACGCTTTAACACAACACTTAAAAACACAGAAGCATATAAACAACCAAAAAGGAAAAGAAACATGGGATTTAAACACATTGAAAGCGAAAAAAGATGACGAGAATACTGTAAAATGTTCAAAATGTAAAAAAAGAGAACCGCTTGAGGGCTTATCCTTATGTGAAACATGTCAAGGATACAAAGACAAATACAATAAGAAACAACGAGAAAAACGAGCCAACAACGGAAACATATATTGTGAAGCATGCGAGCAAAAGGTGAAACCGGAAAACTGGGAAGCGCATTTCAAACGGAGACAGCACATCGGCGGATTGAGAAGGCAAATAATGAATACATATATAAAGGAGTTAAAGGAAGCAACAACACAAGAAGAAACAGAAACGACAAACCACAAATTACAAGAATGGGAAGACAACTATAATTCATAAAATGTAGTTTAATATTATTATCATATAATATTAAATTTCATTAGAGGGACACGCTCGTTAGAGCCTTGTTTTGTTAAAACAACCTTGCCCCACTGTATGCATATTGTTATTCTTGGGTTTTGGGCTTAGGGGTTTGGGTTGAAGAATAACGGGGATTTATGGGGGAAGGTGTTTTTCTTAGGTTTTGGGCTTGGGATTTTGGGCGAAATGGTTTTACGGGGATTTCGGGCTAAGATTTACGGGGTGATATTTGGCATATGGGTATAACGGGGTTTTGGGAATATGGTTTCGGGATTTTTGGGCTAAGATTTTGGGCTAAGATTTGGGCGAATGGTTTTACGGGGATTTTGGTTGATATTTGTCGGGCTGGTGTGCCACCGAATGGCTTCAATAGAGGGCGGGGCGAGGTGTCGTGTAAGTCGGGCTGCCACAAAAAGGACCCGCGGCGCGCTCCCGAAGCCTATAGATTCTCTGTTTCAGGTACTGGGTCTCTTGCCTCTACGGCGGACGCCAAGCCCTGGTCCTGGATGTGGCCATCTGAAAAAAGAGCCCCTCTGCTGTGCCGGCACATTCCACCTTAAAATCCTTTTCTGCTTGGTCGCAGCGCTTTGTGCCAGAAAGCGGGCGGCTCGGTCATCACCCCCACTGTGGGCGCGCAGGGCCCTCAGAGATCAGAGAGCGGGAGTTTTCTGGAGAAGCGCTCATTCACCGGTTCGACACTGCCCTTCGAAGCCCTCTCAGAGAACCACAAGCTTGGGATGCCAGGCTTTCCCTCCGTGGAGGATCGCCCAAAATGACAAGGCAAAGGGCACAGCAAAACGGAAATCCGACGACGGCCACGGGCATGGGGAGTGGGGTGGCCCGGAACACGCATCGACTTTGGTGACGTACCGTGTATCGAGTCCCCGTTTTCCTCCTTCCCATATGTCCTATGTATGATGATGCAAGACTCACCGTGATGGATGCTGGCTTGGGTTTCGGTGTGTTTTACGTATCACCAGTGTGGATACTGCCCAGAGGATGGTTGAAGAACTCAATGATTCCAGACGAGACTCAGACTACAAGGAACATCTTGCTGAATTGAGGCCAGGTCCAGGTGATTTTGGTCGTTTGCTTTGTAACATGCACTGCACCGTTGCCTTGTGCCAAGGGCGGGCTTCGCAGGGACGGCTTGCTTTGCAGCCTGCGTGCGATGCTGGTCCCAGAGGAAACCTTTTCGGAGCGCTGCAGCATTGAGTTGTTGTTGTTTCATGCTGCATGCGTGTGTGCCATACGGAACCTTTGTTCTCAGCTATTGGCTACAGGTCAAGGCTCGTCATGCCGCAGCACAAGCCTTCGGGCACAGAATAAGAAAGGTATGGGTTGATATTCATGGCTGCCGCGCCGGCACTTGTTGGCGCGGCGGATGTGGAAAGTCGCGACGAAGACGATTTCCTGCTCCCAGTTCTGCGCGGAAAGCAGGAGAGAAGAGATGTGCCAAAAGCACTCGACGTGGACGAGGATGGCTCCGGTGAGGAGTGCAGTTCATGCCGCTCTCTGTGTTCCCGCTTCCGCTTGATCTGGTGTGGCCTCTTTAGCATGGCCGTCGGTTTCATGGCCGCTGGTTTCTTGAGGCCGCAGATCGGGATTCAGGGAGGTTCGTTCACTCCAAGGACGCTGGCCTGCCCTGTGCGGGAGCCACGTTCGCCGGAGTCGGTGCAGCCACCAGCCGCCGGCGTCGTGGAGCTCGTGGGTTTCAGCAAGGCATGGTTGGCAGGAGCCAAGGGCTTTGAGGCCCCGATCTTGGTGACTGGTGGCGCTGGCTACATCGGAAGCCACATGAGCCTAATGCTCTTGGAGAGGGGCTTTGACGTGGTGGTAGTTGACAACCTCTCGCGGGGAAACATGCTGTCGGTTCGTGTCCTGCAGGCTGAAGCCTGCAAGCTGGAACGTTCGCTGGCCTTTGCTAATATTGACCTGGGGGCCTATGACCAGCTGCTTTTGCTTCTGAAACGTGTGAAGCCGAAGGCGGTCTTGCACTTTGCGGGCAACGCGTATGCCTCCGAGTCCATGGAAAAGCCGCTGCTGTATTACCAGAATGTCACCGAGAATTCGCTGAACTTGCTGAGGGCCATGGCAGGGGCGAGAGTTGGAAAGATCATCTTCTCCTCCTCCTGCGCCACTTACGGCCTGCTTCTCAGTCCTTCCGACAGCCTGTTCATGCCTGCTCGCACCTGCTTGAGTGAAAAAACCGAGGCAATCCCAGTAAAGAGCAGGTTCCGGTCACAGAAATGCTGGAGCAGAAACCCATCAGCATCTATGGGCAAAGCAAGCTCATGGCGGAAAAGATGATCGCCACTTGGGTCGGCTTGGGTGCCGAAGGGCGCTGCGCAACCATCTTCCGCTACTTCAACGTCTATGGCGCCGACCTGCAGTCGCGCAGCAAAGGTTACTTTTTTGGGGGGCTCCTCTGCGTTTCGCGCCAAATTGCCGGCATTGGCGGGAAAAATCATAAGAGCAGCCAAGGTCAAGACTTGGACCTGTACTGCGAGGCCGGCGCCTACCGGGTTTAAGGGTTTCTGGGGTGTGG